TTCAAAGGGCTGTAACTTTTGATCTAGTAGCCCAATCTTGGAACTGTTTAAAATTATGGAATCTACAGGCCATATTCTATAAGAAAATGTTTTTTCCGGTCGATCTGAGACAATTTTTTTTTGGGGGCCTCAAAAAAAGGCAGTGTATAACCTTCCTTTTTTACCAAAAATCGACTACACCAAAATTTCTCGGGAAAACACTTTTTCTTATTAATTTTGGTGCGTAGAATCCAAAACGATTCGTACTTTTTCGATTAGACTTCTCAATCAAAAGTTATGGACTAAAAACCAATTTCGAAAAAAATTCAAAGGGCTGTAACTTTTGATCTAGTAGCCCAATCTTGGAACTGTTTAAAATTATGGAATCTACAGGCCATATTCTATAAGAAAATGTTTTTTCCGGTCGATCTGAGACAATTTTTTCTTGGGGCCTCAAAAAAAGGCAGTGTATAACCTTCCTTTTTTACCAAAAATCGACTACACCAAAATTTCTCGGGAAAACACTTTTTCTTATTAATTTTGGTGCGTAGAATCCAAAACAATTCGTACTTTTTCGATCAGACTTCTCAATCAAAAGTTATAGACTAGAAACCAATTTCGAAAGAAAATTCAAAGGCCTGTAACTTTTGAAATAGTAGCCCAATCTTGGAACTGTTTGAAATTATGGATTCTACAGGCCACATTCTATAAGAAAATTTTTTTTCCGGGTCGATCTGAGAAAATTTTTTTTTCGGGGCTCAAAAAAAGGCAGTGTATAACCTTCCTTTTTTACCAAAAATCGACTACACCAAAATTTCTCGAGAAAACACTTTTTCTTATTAATTTTGGTGCGTAGAATCCAAAACAATTCGTACTTTTTCGATCGGACTTCTCAATCAAAAGTTATGGACTAGAAACCAATTTCGAAAGAAATTTCAAAGGGCTGTAACTTTTGAACTAGTAGCCCAATCTTGGAACTGTTTGAAATTATGGATTCTACAGGCCACATTCTATAAGAAAATGTTTTTTACGGTAGTTCTGAGAAAAATTTTTTTTTCGGGGCAAAAAAAGGCAGTGTACAACCTTCCATTTTTTCCAAAAATCGGCTGCACCAAAATTTCTCGGGAAAACACTTTTTCTTATTAATTTTGGTACGTAGAATCAAAACAATTCGTACTTTTTCGATTAGACTTCTCAATCTAAAGTTATAGACTAGAAACCAATTTCGAAAGAAAATTCAAAGGGCTGTCACTTTTGAACTAGTAGCCCAATCTTCAAACTGTTTGAAATTATGGATTCTGCAGGCCACATTCTATAAGAAAATGTTTTTTCCGGTCGTTCTGAGACAATTTTTTCTTGGGGCCTCAAAAAAAGGCAGTGTACAACCTTCCTTTTTTTCCAAAAATCGACTGCACCAAAATTTCTCGGGAAAACACTTTTTCTTATTAATTTTGGTGCGTAGAATCCAAAACAATTCCTACTTTTTCGATCAGACTTCTCAATCAAAAGTTATAGACTAGAAACCAATTTCGAAAGAAAATTCAAAGGGCTGTAACTTTTGAACTAGTAGCCCAATCTTCGAACTGTTTGAAATTATGGGACTCTGCAGGCCACATTCTATAAGAAAATTTTTTTTCCGGATCGATCTGAGACAATTTTTTCTTAGGGGCTCAAAAAAAGGCAGTGTATAACCTTGCTTTTTTACCAAAAATCGACTGCACCAAATTTTCTCGGGAAAACACTTTTTCTTATTAATTTTGGTGCGTAGAATCCAAAACAATTCGTACTTTTTCGATCAGACTTCTCAATCAAAAGTTATTGACTAGAAACCAATTCGAAATAAAATTCAAAGGGCTGTAA